ATGGAGTTCCAAAGGGTGGGGGCTGCAGCTAAAATAGTCAATAAAATAGAGGCAAAGAAAAGGTTGCGATGAAAGCGAGAGAATGAGTAGAAGACAGAGGTGGTGGAAAAAAGACCCATCAGATCGAGATCCTGCCCAGTGAGTGCGAGTGGTGTTAGAAAGTATAATTAGATTTGATCACTTTTTTAAAAAAAATAAAGAGTATCGCAAGCTGTTTCATAAACTTTATTTTATAAAAGTAACAAAACATTTGACGCAAACCAGATACAAAATCTTCGAGATCAGCCTCCTGCAAGTTGCATTTCAACGAAAGGACCCAACAATCTAGTCGCAAAAGGTACTTCAACACTTGTGTACTTACTCACTTGCCACCATCCTCTGCTCAAACCATACAGGTATATATATATATACGCACAACACGCAGACAACGCAGCTTGTACAGAAACGATGTTTCAGCCCTCGTTGGCTCAGCAACAGTCAATAGTGATACTCGCTTGTGCAAGAATGAGGAGCGACTCTGTGCCTCACTCTCAAGACTCCCGTCAAGAACAAATGGACTTACTAGGAACGAGTGAGTAATAGTGTTTCAGATTTGTCAAACTGCAACCCATTGTCCTGTACAAGTGTACAATGTGGTACGGCAGCTCATATAGAAATAGGGTCACAAGCTGCAAATATATATATATATATATATATTACACACACATATATATATATATATAAGCAAAAAGATGCATGTATTGTCCATTTGCTGCAATAAGTGGTTTCAAACTCTACTGAGTGTATATTTAGGCAGGAATCAAATCAGAATGCCATACAGTGGTGTAGACAACGCAGACACAAGGCCAGTGCTAACAGCAACACCATCCGCAGGTCTATGTCCTTTGCCCTGTTGTAAAGGGCTTTGGGTTTCCAGGCTAATTTGCGATATTTGAAAGCATCCTTGGTAAATAGGGTCCCCAAATTGAAAAATGTGTTTCGTTACAGTAGCAGCCTATCACTATTGCAGAATAAATTCAATACACAGCAGTAAAGACCGTTCAATCAACCCCTCGCTCTTTACCCAGCACAATAGTGTCACTCCTCGTCCAGCAGTATGTAGGAGGTTGACCTGTTAGGGTAATATGTAAGTTATCGACAGTGAATGGAAGATATGTCCAACCGCGATGTCCCCAAACGGGCTCAGCTTTTTCTTTAACAAAGCATTCGTCACCAACACACGGTGTCCAGTAGCACTTACATAACACCCTAAAGATTAACTTATAACCGGTCGTGGCTTCTCTTGTTTTGCTACTTTTAGCTAGAATTGGTCACTTTGTACAACATTAAATAAGGGTTGGCTAAAACTGCAGTCATTTCGTTCCAGTCATTAGTGTACATCGGAAACTATAAACTTAAAAGTACTTTATCAAGCCAGTTCATCACCTGGCTTTTTTTTTGCTCAACAATTCTGTGACTTGGGGCTGCCCAATGGCTCAGTGAAGAAAAAAATGTCCGTGCAAGGTGGCTCCGGACTAGAATAATAATAATAAAACTTGCAGTTGATGTAGCGCCTTATCACGTCTTTGAGACGTCTCAAAGCGCTTCACAGAATACACTGCAAAGTGAATTGACTGTGTATTTTGTGGGCGAAACGCCAAGGGAGGAGATCACGCTTAAGCTAACACATCCTCCCTGGTCTGTAATAGCTTAGCCAATTTCAGCCTTAGGCAATCACTGGGCTACGGAGGTCAAATTTGACCCAGGGTTGAGGTTTCCGTGACTCCCTACTGGATATCGTGCACCCGTGAGTGAGCACCAGGTGAGCGGCTGGGTTTGGCTTACAGTGTAGCCCTGTGGAGTCATATAATAATCCTTGCATCTTGCGCCTTATCGCGGCGATGAGACGACTCAAAGCGCTTCACAGAACATACCATGAAGGGGATTGAATTTATATTTTGTGGGACACAAGCAGTCGTGGATTGAGTGAACCAATTTATATGTAAAAAAAAGTTTGAGAGGGATTATTGCCCCATGAAAGCGATCTGCCAATCGACTAACAACTGCCTACTTACTGCTAGGCAAGAAACTTGCCTCAGGTTTTGCCCCGCCCGGGAATCGAACCCGGGTCCTCTCGCTTGCGAGGCGAGTGCTCTAACCACTGAGCTATGGGACTCCACAACAGCCTGACCAACACTCGTTGTCGAGGCTTTCTTCCGCATGTACCCCCGCTTTGATGAGGTTCCGGAGACCCCCCACTGTCACCAAAAGAGCTGTACTTCAGCGTGAGCCAACGGAGGGGAGGGAGAAGTGGTTTTATTTTTGGGCGGGCGATTCCTGGCAAGCTCCTTGAGGCCTGCTTTGAAAAGCACACGTCAGTCATCTTAGAAACAGAAGGTACTAACACGAGAACAGGTAAATTCCGCATAGTTTAAGTGAATTGAACATTTCTAATTTTTTTTTAAAAAAGTTAAACAGACTAACAGTGGTAATAGATGGTGCTGTTAATATCTTAAGCAGCCCACCCACCCCCCCAAACCCCACCCTCGCCAATGCTGCCATTATTTTTTGTATGGCTTTTAGTAACGGTTTAAGCTCTTTCTGTCTCATGGAAGCACCAAATAATTAAGGCTTCCAGACAAACTAAGTCCTGAGCCTGAGAGATCAGTGCAATTGTTACGAGCTAAGGCAATGCAGACAATTAAAACGGCTGCACATTGACCTTTTTAAACATCACACGGTTCTAATTTATACCAAAAGTGTTGGGAGAATTTACGATTATTCTCCCTCCAATACACACCCGCGCGCACACACACTTGTGGTATAAATAATCTAGAAGCATTTGATACAATTTCTCTCTCCCCCTCCCCGTGAGAAAGATGATCACAAGAATTATGTGGTCGGTCTCTCATATGCTGCGAATAAAATTAATATCAAATACTTCCAACACTCTGCATAAACATCCTGCATAGATAATGAACTGACAAACATGCCGCTAACGAACATACTCCAACATACAATTAAACCAATTCAGAAAACTCTTTGGTCTACAGAAAGGTGATAGTTTGTTTAAACAACTAGGGTAAGGTTAATTGGGATTTGCCGATTCAAGGTTATTTCTCCCCCAACTTACCACAAACGCCAAAGTTTCTTTACTCCAGGCAGCACTCTCAATCCACAACGAACACAATAAAACACACTGTATATCTTCATGTTTCGCAGAGGGCATCTATTTCTTAATCCCACTTCACTTGCTGCGGGTAAAACTGATAGCAATCTGCCCAGGAACTCATCCATTCAATCAGCTGGACGATCTCCCTCCCATTGGGAGCCATGGCCGTTCGGCAAAGTTCAGGAAGCCAAGCAGTAAAACTTCCATGTAAAAGGCGTCCTGGATAAACGATTGTGTAAGATTGCAACGGTCATGTCTCGTGCTCTTCCGTTAGAGGAGTCGATCGATGTTCATCGTCAGGGCAACAAAAGACCGATGCTGTTCTCGACTGCCTGTTGTTCCTGGGAATACTTTCTGCGAGTCACGAGATGCAATGTGGAAAAAGTATTCCATTCTCTGGCAGCACCGTCTGCTCCGGTCTGGAATCTGTCACCAGCAGCAGCACTACAGGTATCAATGTCACTGAGGGATCGGGGATACTCTGAATGGATGGAGCTGGTTCTAAATAGCTTCCTTCCCAATTCCTCTTGCAACGTGATGGTATATTCTGCTACCACGCAGTTCCTTACAGTTTGGCCAAGCTGAGGGCTGGGGGAGAGGGAACCAGGATTATCTGTCGAGCAGTAGATTTGGAATTGAAATCCAGGGTTTGTAGCCATGAATAGCACTGTTAGCACGCACTCCTGGCCACCAATAGAGTTGCTTTCTGGAAGGACAAGTTTGTGCCCTGGGGGGCATTATCATACCTTAACTCATCTCATTTAGAATCACTTGGCCTTTTCTCTTGAATCGAACCCAGGTCCTCTCGCTTGTGAGGCGAGTGCTCTAGCCACTGAGCCACTACAGGACTCCATAGTGATTAAGTCATTTGGAGGGGGAGAGATGGGGTTATGAGGTGCAGAGGGGAAAAGAGAAACCAATGGAGAACAAAATTCTCAAGGTTACTGTTTAGAAGTTTACAAGCTTATTGTTTATCGATGTTCATTGTCAGGGCAACAAAAGGTCAGCACTGTTCTCGACAACCTGTTGTTTCCCGGGAATGCTTTCCGCAACTCATGAGATGCACAGTGGAAAAAGTGGTGGGTGGGGGTCAGTGGGGGGGGGGGGGGGGGGGGAGTGGAGGAGGAACTGAGGGTGTGTTGCTTTGCTTTTAAATGCCCTAAAAGGTAATTGATCCTGTAAACGTACATTGAGGATCAGCAGCTCTACATTCAGTCACACCAGAGGGCAAAAAGCCCCCAAAATCCTGCAGATTTTTTTCAGTGCATTTGTGTTACTGGCAGGGGCAAGCCAGAGCTCAGGTTAGGGTTCAGCTGGAGACTGCTGCAAAAGTCAGTGAAACCGACAGTTTGACCCCACTCGTTGCCATTCTATCAGGATAGCGATGTCAGGGAGAAACAAAGACAGCAGCAGAAAGAGAGAGACAGACAGAGACAGAGAAAGAGACAGAGAAAAAAGGGAACTATTTTACAAAACTCCTCCACAGCCTGATCTCAATCGAATTCACAGTGTCTTGCATGTCAGGTTTAGTCACTTTTAGTACTTGGCTTCGCCTGATGGCAATAATGGTCCGAAGTGTCCCAGGGCCCCACATGGTCTGACATACACCTCGTTTGTTATTGCTGAGTTTGACACTCTAGTCCGTGGCCTAGGAACACAGTTCACTAAAGGGCATAATAATCCTTGCGTTTGATAAAGCGCTTATCACGTCGCGGCATCTCAAAGCGCTTCACAGGATATACTGTAAAGTGAACTGACTATAATTTGTGGGCGAAACATGGCAGCCATATGTAGCCGCTCAACCCAAATGACAGTATCTAGGTTTCTGCATAAGAATTCAGGGTAATCGCTGAACAGGTGGCCATAGAGCTTGAGCCAATGTAGCCAACAACAACACCTGAATCCAAAGACACGGACACAGATGGATTCCACTGAGTTAAACACAGTACCAGCTCAGCTTGGGGTGTGGGGAGGTGGGGAGGGCAGGGGAGACGAGAACTCAGCCAAGCTATTGAGCCATTAGTCTGCCAGTAAAAACAGTGTTGAAACAATATCCATATTACGAGGATGTACTACTTAAAATATTCACTTCTTTTCTTAGAGGTCGAATAATCGACAATTCAAATCAAATGGTTTACGCCATCTGCTTCGGTACATCACCGTTCACGGCGAGATTTCCCCGAGTTTTTTCTACAAGATGTTGAAATGAAGGATGTATTCCAGCAGTTTCTGACGGTTGATCAGAGGTAGAAAGGTGTTGCTTAGTTCCAAAACTGCTTTGTTGTTTCTCTGCACTTCCTTAAAAACCTAGGGCAGATAGAATGATTGACATGTTCATCAAATACTTAACTAATAATAATAATAATCCTTGCATTTGATAAAGCACCTTCTCACGTCTCAAAGCGCTTCACAGAATACATTGTAATGTGGATAAATTGTGGGCGATATAATAATAATACAAGTATTTGATACAGCCAGTCTCACTTCGGACGGGGAAACATCTCAAAGGGCTTGGCATTTTTGCACTGGACTTTTGAGCTGACATTTTTAATGTAGCTCCAATCTTCAAACAATAATAATAATAATAATAATCCTTGCATTTGATATAGCGCTTTTCACGTCAGGAGGACGTCCCAAAGCGCTTCACAGAACACACTGTAAAGTGAGTTGACTGTATATTTGTGGGCGAACGCGGCAGCCAATTGCGCACAGCAATGTCCCACAAACAGTCGTGGATTGAAAATGACCAATTTATTATTATTTTTGGTTTTGGAGGATTATTATTAGGCTCTGTGTGGAGTAAGGAAACTTGCCCGAGGTTTCGCCCTCTGCCTGGAATTGAACTCAGGTCTCTCACTCGCAAAGCGAGTGCTCTAACCACTGAGCTACAGGACTCCACAAAGGGTAGAGGGAGGAGGGGGGAGAGAGAGAGAGAGAGAGAGAGAGAGAGGGAGGGAGGGAGTGTGTTCAGTGATGAGTTTCGGGAGGTAGAGACATAGAGCCCAATGTCCCCAGATTGAAGGAGATGGAGGAGGTGAACTTGGGGAGGTAAGGGCGAGGTGGGACAGGTTTCAACAGTCGGCCTTGAAGAGTGAACGAACACACATCTCGGAGCTCCTGAAACTTTCTTCCCGCCTGACGGCTGTCTCCTCGCGTATAAATACTTAAAATCTTTTCCTTAAACGTCTCCTTTCCCATGAAGGAATGTCTAAAAGAGCTTGACAAACATAGTGAGCAATGATCATCACTCTCCCGAGCTATTGGGAGCCAGTGGATGTGTAGGAGAGAATGTGAAGTTCAGCTCTGGATAAGTTGGAAGTTAAGGAAAAATCTTCTTTGGTGCCACATGCAATGGACTGCTCTTCACATGGGGCAGTGTCTCGGAGTGAGTTTCAATCAGCATTATGCATGACATCAGTTAAATGCCTCAAATAAAAGATTCAAAGAAAATTAATACAAACCCCAAGATCTTTAAGAGTCTTCATTGCGCTTTTTGCAAGGCAGAAGGTTGCACTCTCACCTGTCACAGAGACAAAGAAAAAAAGTTACTCATATCCAGATTAATAGAAAACAAAACGTGTATGTGTGTGTGGGTGCCTTCGTATGGGAGAGGGGAGCAGGGATGATATTCTGGAAGGACGAGATCAAATGGGCTCAGAGTTCCTTGCTCACCAAACCTCTCTTGTGAAAGACATTGAACAGCTAAAAATAACAAAATTGTTTTCCAGGCAGCATGAACCGAAACACATCAGTGCTAAGAAAGGGCAAGATTTGAAAGATGTTAGTAATAATAATAATAATCCTACATCAAACATTTAGCCAATTGCACACAGAAGTATCCCACAAACCGTCGTGGATTGAGTGACCAAAGTATTATTTATTTTTTTGAAGGGAATATTAGCCCCAGAAACGCGATCCTCCAATTGACTAACAAACGGATTCCGACTTACTCCTTGGTAAACAGAGGTAAGAAACCCAGGACCTCTCGCTTGCGAGGCGAGTGCTCTAACCGCTGACCTACAGGACTGGACAATTAACATAAACCAAAACTTGACTTTGTTTGTTGGGACTCACCGAACACCGCAATTTTCTTTTCTGTTCTTGACAACAGATACTTGTGAAATGTGTTCACGTATTCCGTCTCTGTGACAAAAAAAACATTGTAAGCAATCAGAAAAAGGAGTTTAGAGCGCTAGAATTCTGAGAATGACAACTTCTGAAATTGGGCTCCTCATTGTCTGAATACATTTGTAAATTCTACTTACAGATAGAGCGACTGTCATTCAAAGAAAAGAAAGATATCATCAGGGGGCACTCTTCATGAATTATTTTAAACAATTCCTGGGACTATATGATAATGACTTGAAATGTGCCCGGTCAATTCACTTTACAGTAACATTTGAAAAATTTGAAGCAGGAGGGAGTGGATCCAATAGTTATGATTCACATAGGGAACAATGATGTAGATAGGACAGGTAGGGACGAGTTGAGGAGCACGTTCCGGGAATTGGGAGTTAAGCTAAAGAGTAGAACTTCGAAGGTATTAATCTCGGGATTATTACCTGAGCCAGGGGCAAATTGGTACAGGCAAAAAAAATTAAAGAACTGAATACCTGGCTAGAAGAGTGGTGCGGAGGGCAGGGGTTTCACTTTATAGGCCACTGGCACCAGTATTGGGGGAGACAGGAGCTATTCCAAAGGAATGGACTCCACCTAAACAAATGTCCTGGCAACACGAATAAAAAAGAAGGTAGACAGGGCTTTAAACTACTAAGTGGGGTGGGGGGGTAAATTCAATCACATGTAATCCGTCACAATTAAAATTAGGACCGATGAAAGTGGGAGAGCAGATTAACCAGGGAGATGAGCAAAGTGTGTCAAGCGGGGAAAGGAAGCCCAGGGATAGGGTACCGGTGAATAGGACTAATAGCCCGAAGTCAGAATTAAAGGTGCTATATCTGAATGCGCAAAGCATTCAAAACAAGATAGATGAGTTAAATGCACAAATAGAAACAAACGGGTATGATCTAGTAGCCATCACCGAGACATGGTTACAGGGAGATCAAGGGTGGGAGCTAAATATTCCAGGGTACATGGTGTATAGGAAAAGTAGGCAATGTGGTAAACGAGGAGGGGGGTGGCCCTGCTAATAAAGGATGGGATAAAAACAGTAGAGAGGAAAGATTTTAAATCAGAAAAGCAGGAAGTAGAGTCAGTATGGGTAGAGGTACGTAACAACAAGGGGCAGAAAACTCTAGTGGGAGTAGTTTATAGACCCCCGAACAGCAGTCACAGTATCTCTCAAGGTATAAATCAGGAAATTAGCAGAGCATGTAGCAAAGGAAAAACATTAATTGTGGGTGATTTTAATCTGCACATAGATTGGGACAACCAAATTGGGAAAAATATGATAGAGGAAGAGTTTATAGAATGTATTAGGGATAATTATCTAGATCAGTATGCCGAGGAGCCAACCAGGGAACAGGCCATATTAGACCTTGTTTTGTGCAATGAAGCAGGGCTGATCAGCAAACTGGAAATTAAGGCTCCTCTAGGGCAAAGTGATCATAATATGATGGAATTTAGCATTAAGTTAGAGAGAGAAGTAGTTAAGTCCGAAGCAAAGGTTTTAAATTTAAGTAGAGCCAATTTTGCTGGTATGAGAGAGGATTTAGCCAAAATAAACTGGGAAATTAGACTTAAGGATTTGACAGTAGACCAGCAATGGCAGACGTTTAAGGAGATAGTACAAAATTCCCAGCGAGCACGTATTCCTTTGAGGAATAAGAATGCCACGGGAAAGGTGGCCCAACCGTGGCTAACTAGAGCAGTTAGGGAAAGTATAAATTTAAAGGAAGAAGCCTATAAAACAGCTAAGATGAGTAGTAAACCCGAGGATTGGGAGAACTTGAGGGATCAGCAAAGGAGAACCNAAAAAGTGATAAAGAGGGAGAAAATGGAATATGAGGGCAAACTAACGAAGAACATAAAGACAGACTACAAGAGTTTTTATAAATATATAAAGAGGAAGAGGCTGTAAGGTAAATGTGGGTCCGCTACAGGCAGAGACGGGGGGAATTATAGTAGGGGACAAAGACATGGCAGTCATTAAACAAGTACTTTGTTACTGTCTTCACCTTAGAAGACACTGAAAACCTACCAAGAATAGAGGGGAACCAAGAAGACAATGTTAGTGAGCAACTTGGGGGAATTAATATTAGTAAAGAAATGGTTTTAGGTAAATTGTCAAGGTCTTAAAACTGATAAATCTCCTGGACCTGATGGCCTACATCCTAGGGTTTTAAAAGAGGTGGCTACTGAGATAGTGGATGGCTTGTCTTTGATCTTCCAAAATTCTCTGGATTCTGGAACGGTTCCCATTGATTGGAAGATTGCAAACGTAACACCTATTTAAGAAGGGTGGGAAGGAAAAAATGGCGAATCATAGACCAGTTAGTCTGACATCAGTGGTAGGGTAGGTTCTTGAGTCCTTAATTAAAGGTGTCGTTATGGGATTCCTGGAAGACCATAATAAGATTAGGCAGAATCAACATGGCTTTACAAAAGGTAAGTCATCCTTCGCTAATTTTTTGGTGTTTTTTGAAGATATATCTTGAAAGTTAGAAAGGGGTGAACCAGTAGATGTGGTACATTTGGATTTTAGAAAGTCATTTGACAAAGTGCTACACAAAAGGCTGTGCACAAGGTTCAGGCCCACGGGATTAATGGAAACATATTAGCATGGATTGAAGAGTGGCTAACAGGTAGAAACAGAGAGTAGGGATAAATGGTTTATTCTCGAATTGGCAGGACGTGACTAGTGGAGTGCCACAAGGATCAGTGCTTGGGCCTCAGCTATTTACAATTTACATCAATGATCGAGACGAGGACATTAAATGCAACGTATCTAAATTCGCGGATGATAGTAAACTAGGTGGGAGTGTAAGCTCTGAGGATGATAAAAAAAGAATGCAACGGGATATAGATAGGCTCGGGGACTGGGCGAGTAGGTAGCAGATGGAATCTAATGTGAGGGAATGTGAAGCTATTCACCTCGGCAGAAAAAAATGAAAAACAGATTATTTTCGAGAAGGGAAGAGATTAGATAGGGTTAATGTTCAGAGGGATTTGGTTGTTCTTGTACACCAGTCTCAAAAAGTTAGTTTCCAGGTGCAGCAGCAACTAAGAAGGCGAACAGCATGTAAGCGTTCATTGCAAAAGGTTTAGAGTAGAAGAGTAGGGAAGTCTTGCTGCAACTGTATAGGGCCTTGGTGAGACCACAACTGGAGTACTGGGTGCAGTTTTGGTCTCCTTATTTAAAAAAAGGCCATACTTGCCCTAGAGGGGGTACAGCGTAAATTCACTTGGTTAGTTCCTGAGATGAGGGGACTGACCTATGAGGATAGGCTGAATAAAATCTGACTGTATTCTCTAGTGTACATAAAAATTAGCGGAGATCTGATTGAAACATGAAAGATTCGTCAAGGGTTGGATAAATTAGACACTGATGGTTTGTTTCCCTTGGTAGAATAATCTATAACTAGGGGTCAAAGTCTTAAAATTAAGAGTCAGCCTTTAAAATAGAGTTGAGGAAACATTTCTTTGCTCAGAGGGTGGTGAATTTATGGAATTCACTTCCCCAGAAGGCTGCAGATGCTCAGCCCTTGAACATATTCAAGGCTCAGACTGACTTTTTTAAAAATAGAAGGATTGGTGCTATGCAGATAGGGCAGTTAATTAGAGTTTGGTCTAAAGATCAGCCATGATCTTATGAAATGGCGGGGCAGGCTCGAGGGGCCAAATGGCCAATCCTGCTGCTAATACTTTGTTTTATGTGCACCGGAGTTCTGAATTAGTTGAATTTTGTTGATAGTGGAGCTGGGAAAACTGGACAGACTACATTGGAATAATCGAGGCAGGAACCACATAATGTACTATACTAGAGTATGTTGTACAGTGGCATGGACACCCAGGGCTCGGGCACTGTTAGTGCTGTCACACATGTTCATTACAATCAAAATACTGGAGCAAACACTCCCACTTACACCTCCGTGTTGCAATAAATAACCTTCAAATATTTAAGTGAAAAATATCCAAATCCAGATTCTTAAACCTCGAAAGACATATATCTAAAACTGTTTTCGTATAGAGAGTAGTGGCGAACAGTTGTTTTTCTGACTGAAGGGAGGTGTGCGATGGTTCCCCCCCAGGGTCAGTATTGGGCTCACTTCTGTTTTTGATTGATATAAATGACCTGGAATTGGATATAGGGAGTACAATTTCCAAGTTTGCCAATGATACTAAGATAGGAAAAGTAGTAAACAGTGAGGAGGATAGTAGCAGACTTCATTTAGATAATTATTTGGGAGGACAAGTTTGCAGGGCTATGGGGAGAGAGCGGGAAATGGGATTGAATTGGATAGCACTATTTAAAGAGCCGGCACCGACACGATGGGCCAAATGGCCTCCTTCTGTGCTGTATAATTCTATGATTCTATGAAGGGTACATAGACAGACTGGTAAAATGGGCAGACACATGGCAGATGAAGTTTAATGTGGAGAAATGCAAAGTGATGCATTTGGGAAGAAGAATGAATAAGCTAATGGTACAATCTTAAAGAGGGTGAAGGAACAGAGAGACAAAATTACATTTATATAGCGCCTTTCACGTCGGGAGGACTTCCCAAGGCACTGGACAGACAGAGTTTCGGACCCAAGCTGAGGATTGGGTTGGGAAGTGGGGGTATAAGTAAACTTTTGAAGGTGGCAGGATAGGTAGATAAAGCTGTTAAAAAAGCATACGGGATAGTAGGCTTTATAAATGGGGACAGAGAACACAAAAGTCAGGAAGTTCTGATGAACCTTTATAAAATACTGGTTAGGCCTCAGCTAGAGTACTTAGTTCAGTTCTGAGCACCACACTTTAGGAAGGGCGTCAAGGCATTGGAGATGGTGCAAAGGAGATTTACCAGGATGGTACCAGGAATGAGGGACTTCAGTTATCAGGAGAAGCTGGAAAAGCTAGGATTATTCTCCTTGGAGCAGAGAAGGTTAATAAGAAGGTCCACTGTCAAATCCTGAAGTCTAATTTCCCAGTTTATTTTGGCTAAATCCTCTATCATACCAGCAAAATTGTCTCTACTTAAATTTGAAACCTTTGCTTCGGACGTAACTATTTCTCTCTCTAACTTAATGCTAAATTCCATCGTATTATGATCACTTTGCCCTAGAGGAGCCTTAATTTCCAGTTTGCTGATCAGTCCTGCTTCATTGCACAAAACAAGGTCTAATATGGCCTGTTCCCTGGTTGGCTCCTCGGCATTCTGATCTAGATAATTATCCCTAATACATTCTATAAACTCTTCCTCTATCATACTTTTCCCAATTTGGTTGTCCCAATCTATGTGCAGATTAAAATCACCCACAAGTAATGTTTTTCCTTTACTACATGCTCTGCTAATCTCCAGATTTATACCTTGAGAGATACTGTGACTGCTGTTCGGGGGTCTATAAACTACTCCCACTAGAGTTTCCTGCCCCTTGTTGTTACATAGTTTGCAGTGCTATGGGAGAGAGCGGGAGAGTGGGATTGATTTGGAAGCTCTTTTCAAAAAGCCGGCACAGACACGATGGGCCGAATGGCCTCCTTCTGTGCTGTATAATTCTATGCTTCTGATTCTCAGCTGTAAGGATCCAACTGTTAGCACTCACAGAGAAAGGTGTCTCAGCTGAGGTCCTTGTAGCTCAGTGTAACACTAACCATATTTGGTATTAAATTAGCAATCACAGACTGCAGTGAAAGGTTTTGGGGGTGTCATGAGTGTTGTGTTAGGTATGTTCTATAGGGTGATCACTCCACCTCGCCCCCTCCTTACCCTCCTACTAGTCCTGCCTCAAAACCCTCCTTTTCGACCATGCCATTGGTCACTCCCCCTTTCCCTTCCCACTCTTCTCCCTCTCTGACCCCAGCTCGGGTCTGAAATGCTGTACACTGACCAACGCCTTGGGATGTCCTCCTGACGTGAAAGGTGCTATACAAATGTAATCTTGTTGTTGTTGGTTGTTCTGTGTAATTTGGAGCCCAGTGTGTTATACTAAGTGAGAAGTGTTTAAAGCTGATGAGGGAATTTAACTATGTTTTCCCCTCAGGATTGATGTTGGTCACCCAGGTGAGCCCAAATAGTGACAGGAAAATAACTGCAGTAAATTGTAGTGAGGTCTGAATCCTCTGATCTGCACAATTATCTCCTATATTACAGCTGTTGTGGTGGCCCAGACCCATCCCTAAACACACAGGCATCTTCCTGCTTCCCTGTGTGCACACGTGTCTGTTTATTTATGTGTGTCTATTTGAGCCAATGAGAGTTAAATATTAAAATAATCCTTGCATTTGATATAGTGCCTTTCACATCAGGAGGGCTTCCCAAAACTTAAGATTTACTGTAAAGTGCGGAATTGACTGGGGATGTGTAGGCAAACGCAGCACATTGTGCAAATTGTGCACAAAATGTCTCACAAACAGCCATGAAATGAATCACCAATTTTATTCAGGGATTGTTGGCCAGGATGCCAGGAGAAACTGCCTTCTCTTTTTGAATAGCGTCACAGAATCGTTAACATCCATCTGAACCTGCAAACTGAACCTTGGTTTAATGTATCATCCAAAGGACGACACCTCTAACAATGTAGCACACCCCCAGCATTGCAGTGGACTGTCACCTTAGATGCTAATTTATGTTCCGATGTGGGACTTGAACCTTTTTATCTGATTCAGAGGCGAGAATGCTACCTCTGCCCCAGGCTGCCATCAGAGGCTCTGTATCATGGCTGTTTCAGGACTAGAAGATGATAGCTTTCCTCTGATGTGTTATAAGAGATAGGGCCAGCCTGGCTCTGTTGGTAGCACTCTCGCCTCTGAGCCTAAATTCTCCCCACATCAGAGACTGAACTCACAGTCTAGGTTGACGCTCCAGGAAAGTGGCATTATGGCAGGTACCACCTTCGGATGTGATGTTAGCTGAACTTCTCTTGACATCTTGTGATGTTAAAGTGAGATCCCATCTGCCTGTTTAGGTGAATGTTAAACGATCATGATTTTGACATGGTTTGAAAAGTAAAGGCAGTTCTCTCTCCCGGTGTCCTGGCCCACAATTCCCCGCATAAAATTGATGACTCACTCCATGGCCGTTTGTGGGATGTTGCTGTTCGCAAACTACCTGCCACTTTTGCCTATAAATAGTCATTATGTTTGACAGCAATTACCTGTGAAGCACTTTGAGATATTTTGATGTTTTAGGTCCATATCAAACGGTAGGATTATTTATTTATAGAGTCTTGAATTCTTAAAAAAAAAGTAACAATCTCACATCTGACAACTGGAGCGATGATGACTGATTAGAAAGGGAGACACTTTTCCTGGAGGGCATCGAGCTATTCCTGGAATGGATTCTGCCCTGAGGTGGGACTTGTGCAGGACAAGAGCCTCTTTGTTTCCATGTGTCGCCCTAACCACCTGCTTACTGACTGTGGAAAGCTCGGTCACCCCAGTGGTGTATGTGAATGTTTGCAGTGTGTGAGCTTATTGTCTGATGTGCCTACAGGTTACACACTGGGCAAAGTGTGTCAGCCAGGCTCAGTGGTAGCACTTGCCTTTGAATCAGAAGTTTGTGGGTTCAAGCCACCCATCAGGACTTGGAATCACATAGTCTAAGCTGTGAATACACAAACACTACAGAACATTTACTCCAGTGCTTTGAGACATTTTGACAAGTGATAAGGCACTGCACTATCAAATGCAAGGATTATTATTATTGTTAAAACAAACCTACATAACACGTCCTACAGAACACCCATTGTATTACTGACAACTTTCAGTGCAGTATAGTCCTGGGGTGTGTTGCATTGTCGGAGATGCTATCCTTTGGATGAGATGGATGGGTGTGGGGTTTTGGTATGGGGGGAGTTAGGGGGAGGGATTATGCTGTACAAAAACGTGGGACCTTACCTGAGGCTGGAGATGTGAACTCAACAATGAATGGCTCTCTAGAGAAGGCATCCTCATCACCGGGCTGCAGGTCGTCATACTGCAAAAGCCTCTTCACCTGCACCACAGTGTCACTGGGGAGACAGGACAAACACCTTCACTAATGATCAAGCACACTAGCACGCTACCCTGCATGAGGGGTGCTATATAAACGCAAGTGTTGTTGTAGCGCCTTATCACGTTGACAAGACTTAGGGCTTCACAATATCTGTAAAGTGGTTTTGAGTGTATTCCATGAGCAAAACGCAGTAGCCTACTTGCGCACAGCAGTATCCCACAAACAACCATGGAGTGAATGAATGATCATAGTTAATGGAGTGAGTGAATGATTGGGGGACTGTTGGCCTGGACACTAGGAGAGAGAAACTCCAATCTGTTTTCAAATAGTGCCATGGGATCTTTAACATCCAGCTGAATAGGTAAGACGGGACCTCGGTTTAATGTCTCATCCAAAAGACGGGACCTCTCACAATGCAACACCCCCCCAGCGCTCTACTGGAGTGTCAGCTAGACTATATCATTCCCCGACATGGGGCTTGAACCCACAACCTTATGACTCAGAGGCGAGAGCACTACCACCAAACCAGGCTGACACACGAACTTTGCGATCCCTCAATGGAAGAGCAACCAGGTTATTCCTCAATAATTTATCCACCATCTACACATCACACCAGCTCGAAGCATTTGAAGTTGATCTGATGTTGAGTCTCCATTTCTCAGCCTTCCTTGTCCCTGAGTTTTAGCTTCTGTGGAAATCTCTCCCTAACGCCTCTCCTCTGTGACTCCCTGCTGTTTTTCAGCCAACACATTTCTGAGTATTTATTCAAAGCAAGTACCTCTACGCGTTGTTGCTAATATTACATTTTAATATTAATCTTTAATATTAAATAATAATAAATGCAAGGATTATTATTATATTATTTTGCGCTGGCCCTGGGTGAGGAGGAGAAAAGCCAAAGAGGTCCACTTGCTAATTGCTAGCCTGAGATCCCCTGCTGGGGGATGTCTAGATGCCAGGTGAGGACAGATCACAACAACAACAACAACAACAACAAGATTCCATTTATAAAGCGCCTTTCACGTCAGGAGGACGTCCCAAGGCGCTGCACAGTTGGGTCATGACCCGAGCAGGGGGTAAATGGTCAGGGTGAGGGGAGGGAAGGAGCGAGGAGGGGGGAAATGGTCAGGGTGAGGGAGGGAAGGGAGGGAGCGAGGAGGGGGAAGAGAGTCGAGAGGGGAGCTGAAGGCTCGGTCAAAGAGAAAGGTTTTGAGACCGGCCTTGAAGGAGAAAGGGAGGAAGCAAGGCGAAGGCACTGGGGGATGGAGTTCCAGAGCCTGGGGGTCAGGGCTTGACTCCCAGTGTCTCATGCTATTCAGTCTCTGTCTCCCTCCCTCCCGGGTCTCTGTCTCCCTCCCTCCCTCCCCGGGTCTCTGTCTCCCTCCCTCCCCAGGTCTCTGACTCTTTTCCTGTGTTTCTCCATATCACTATTATTATCTCTCCATATCTATCTCTCTCCCTCTTTTTCTTAATATGTATCTCCCTTTGTCTCTGTGCCCCTCTTTCTATTTCCCTCCCTCTCTCTTGCCTTGAGCATGTGTTTATGTATGTTTCTCTCTCTTATGTGTGTCTTTCTCTTCGAGTGTGTGTCTGTCTCACTCTCTCTCTCCCTGCATATGTCTCTATTTTCTGTTTCTCTGTCTCTCCCCGTCTTCTATCTCACTCTGTATCTCTCTCTCGACCCTGTCTGTCTATGTCTCTACAGGTAGAAATCACTGAAAGATAAGATTTAATCTGTTTATAACCTCTACTATTAGCATTTACTAGTCGTCAGCTTGACAGTGAGAGCCCAGGAGACCTTGACATTTGAATAATGAACCTCTAAGAAGCAATGATCACTGAGTCGATAGTTAATATCTCAACACTGATCGCGATGAACATAAACGTTCCTGAAATCTTTGGGTAACAGCAAATGAAGATCTGCTAGCCACCAAAGTAATCAGCGAATAATAGAGAACAAGCAGGTAAAGTAATTATTTTACAGATGATGTGATGGTCTGGCTGTAGCCACCTGGCAATGCGTGCTGAGAGCAAGGCAGGCAGCAGGAAGTGGCAATCGGAACCCTGCCCTTTGGTGTCCCCTGCGGTTCCTTTGTGTCCGGCCAGCTGGCGGGGGTGCTTAGCTGCCTGGCTTCTCCCCCTCCGCCTCACAGACACCACCCCCACACCAAAACTACAGTTGTAGGGGAGTATGGTTCCTTTCTGAAGTCTCCGTTGGAAGGCCAGCTTAGTCGGTAACTCTGAATCAGAAGCTTGTGGGGTCAATCCCGCATCGGGACTTTGAGCTCACAGTCCATTCTGACACTGAATCTAGTACCGGGGGCTGCACATTGTCAGAACTGCTGTCCTTGAGATGAGACAATAAACTGAGGTCCTGTCTGCATGTTGGGGTGGATGTTAAAGATCCCGTGACACTGTTTGAAAAGAGATGGGAGTTTCTCCCAGTGTCCTGGCCAACAATCCTCCTACATTGTCTGTTGTGAGCAAACTGGCTGCTATGTTCACAAATATACAGTCAGACATTTTGGTGCGGATCAAATGCAAGGCTTAATATATTATTGCTACTGTTCACACACAGTTTTCACTAACATTCAATAACCCTGATCATCTCAATGTTCGAGCACCTGCATTACATATTTGACCCATAAGCAGAGAAGACACAAACATGTGAGGTGTGTGCAGGTAAATACAATATCATTTATATTTATGCAGCACATTTCATGTCAGGAGGATCACTTTCCAGGGGTAATAATCTCTTTAAAAAATTGGTCACTCAATTCACGACTCTTTGTGGGACACATCTGTGTGCAATTCGGTGCTGGGTTTCACCCACAAAATATACAGCCAATCAACTTTACAATATATTCTGTGAAGTACTTTGAGACATCTCAACAACAACTTGGATTTCTATAGCGCCCCCCACGCTGGATAGCGTCTCAGAGCGCTTTACAGTAACGGATCCCAGGGCTGAGCCAGGGGGAGGGGGGAGGAAAGTGACCAAAGGCACGGTCGAAAATAAAGGTCTTCAGCAGAGACCTGAAAATGGGAAGGGATGTGATGAAGGGCTATATCAAATGCAAGGGGGCTAAGCTGCCTGGTTTCGTTGGCTGGACACCCAAGTTGGATGGGGGAAGATGACCGAAAGAGTGCTCAAAGTGAGACATGCCTTGAACAGGGGTTGGAGAGAATGAGTTGGAGGGACTCCACAATAGAACTCCATAGAGTGGGGACAGAATGGCTGAAAGCTCACCCGCCAGTGATGGGAGGGGCAAGACTGTGGAGGGAGGGGTTTGAATCTGCACCCGTAAGGCATGTTCAGGTAAAAATACACATACAAAATGCATTTACCAGTGAAGAAACACACACAATCGAGGTATGTACACGAGAAGATGCTGTAAGTCTTCTGCTGCTGTTACCACGGTTATCACCCCCTCGCCGTGAGCTGTCAATCAAATCCACTTTAATCCAGCCCCACAAAAGCTGTCAGTAATACAGCTCTGGTTGAAGTGGTAAATTGCACGCAGGGATTTGTGAGTCAGATAGATCACAGGGAACAGCCTCAGTGCTTTGATGGCAGACAGAACTGCGTCCAATTAGTGCTCTCCACAGAAGCAATTCACGAAGAATGAGCACAGGAACCTGTGATTGAGTCCATCAACCGTCATTTGGAAGCTAACATCACACAACAGCCGGCTTGTTAACTCAGCATGCTGTGATAAGGATCGGTTGGTCTGCTTGTCACAGCTGGTAAAGTATTCAGCTCAGACAGGGAGAGAGAAATGAAAATTGGGTGTTTTCTTTCAAACCTTTAATCATTTGTGATTTAAATTTAGGGGTAGAACAGGAACAACGCAATACAATTTCTGTTCCTACAACACCTTTCATGTCCGGACCCGCAATGCACATGTGCAATGGTGGGTGCAAGATGGAGTTTATTTCCAGGTGCCCTGGCCAACAATCCCCCAAATAAAATTGGTCACTCCATGGCTGTTTGTGGGACATTGCTGTGCAATAAATTGGCTGCTGTGTTTACCCATAAACTACAGTCAATTCATTTTACAGTTAATAATAATAATCCTTGTATTTGATGTAGCACCTTATCACTTCGTTGAGATGTCTCAAAGCGCCTTACAGAATATACTGTACAGTGGATTGACTGTATTTTGTGCCGAAACGCCTACAAATTACACATTAATCCTGTGAGGCGCTTTGAGATGTCCTCCTGACAGGTATGCACAATATCAGATGTAAGGATTGTGGTTGGTGTTGCTTGCTTGCGGGTTATGTGAGAATCGCTCACCGATAGAGAAAGAGGTACTGTTCCTTATAACTCCCACGGCCCAGCGGTTTGCTCAGTACGGAGGAATAGTGGTGATCTTTAGAGTTCCTGCAAAGATGATAAATAGCACAGAGTTAAACACAGCCAAGCCTCTCGACATGACACTTCAGCTTAGCTCCCTGGGCAGGAAGTGCCGAAAGCCAAGAGATTGGAAGCAAGCTTCCCCATGCTCCGAGTTGCTACCCTACACAAAGGCGCTATATATGTGCAAATCACTGTGGGGAATTATCTTTGCTTTTTTCACTTCAGATCTTACATTTTAAGTGGTCTGCTAGCTACAACCAGGGGAACCTACAGGCCTCAGATAATGTCGATGTAGAGGTTTGAGATGAGACAATGCAATGAGGAAGCAGACATGGTGCAGAATCCCACCAAGAATAAAATGTTCCTCAAAATGTATCTGAATTGTATCATATAGCTCAGTGGTTAGAGCACTCGCCTTACAAGCGAGACACCTGAGTTCAATTCCAGGCAGGGCAAAACCTTGGGCAAGTTTCCTTACTCCACACGCCTAATAATAATCCCTCCAAAACAAAACAATAATAAATTGGTCATTTTCAATCCACGACTGTTTGTGGGACACTGATGTGCGCAATTGGCTGCCGTGTTTCGCCCACAAATATACGGTCAATTCACTTTTCAGCATTTTCCATGAAGCGCTTTGAGACGTGAAAAGCGATCTCTCAAATGCAAGATTATTATTATTATGCAGTATGTGAGGGTTGTATCAACACAGCTTCTATTCCGTTGAACTGAACATTTCCAGAGGAAGTGTCTGCCCAATGAATCTCTTAGAGTATCAAGCTTTGTTCATTTTAACATTTAAATCACTTTCTGATTGCTTCCACCAGCTATCACATCCTCAATCCAGATTATGTTCAGCCTGATGGTGGGCTTTTTACCTGCTGGAGATTAGTCATTATGCAGCCCTTGCGAAGGACTCCTGTCAGGAAGACTCCTATCCCACTCCTGTGATAAACCCTACGAACCCCAGGGAAATTGACACTTGATTGGACAATCCACATCTTTTGGTGCTGCCTAGTGTTTGGCGTGGATTTCTCAATCATTCCCAATGCAACCATCTGTCATACTTTGTGGCATCTTTCATCTCGTTGGACGACTGAATAGTAGACGCTGAGTTATTCGGAACAGGAACAGCTAATAGCTCCCCTACAGGCATACAACTGGTGGGACCTCTGCTCCTACACAATCTACTGGCTATCGACATCCTAGCTGGTCAGAGGGACGCACTTCAAGTAACCCAGCTGCCTTACCTTTGCTCCTCTGATACTCCTGTAAGGGGAGCGCTGCATTGTCCAAGGTGCCGTCCCATTCAGGTTTATGTCATGTTTCCCATGGCATTATTCGAAAAGAGAAAGGAGTTTCCAAAATTGTCACTCTGTGGAAAATTGGCTGCTGCATTCATCTACAAATCACTATACTTCACAGTATATTCTGTGAAGCTCTTTGAGACATCTAGACGTGAAAGGCATTATACCAAATGTAAGGATTATTTTAATTTTATTGTTATTAAATATGCAGCTGATCCAATATAGAACTTTGAAACTGAGAAGCATTACACCTTGGGATGTCCTCCCGACGTGAAAGGCCCTATACAAATGTAATTTTGTATTGTATTTACACTGCACCACAGTGCTAGGTTTAGTCTCCTCTCAGGGCTTATCCAATGGAGTACACAGAGTCTCGGAGCCAGCTCTCCAATCCAATCTAATGTAGAGAAGCCACATCACACCAGCAAACCCAGGGGAAGGGGAGAAGATCAAGGAATGGCTTGAGAAAAGCTGGCTGGTGTTTAACTAACTCTGGCCGAGCCAAACACAGGGCTTTTTCCGCTCTCTTCACAATTACTTACTTATTCAACTCCTGATTCAGGATTTCCACTGCCTCGCCTGTCCGGTCCGTCACCTCCATGATCAGGATTATATCGTAGCGCATCACAATCTGTACAAGCAGAATCTTGGTGAATTCCCCAGAGGCCTCATCAGAGACATCACATAATATACAGTCTGAGCTTTATTCTGCTTTCTAGATAGTGTGCATGAAACATCACAAAGAGATTTCAACCCATGATAGCATTCTCACCCCTACATCAGACGGTTCTGTATTCTAGCCCCACGTTGACTGAGTTTGAACCCACATAGTCAAAGCTGACACTCCAGTGTGGTGCTGGGGTTGTGGTGACATTGTTCGAAGTTGTACCATCCTTCAGGTAAAATGTGAAACTAAGGTTCCATCTGCCTGTTTGGTGGATGTTAAAGATCCCATTGAACTGCTCAACAGAATAAAAGTTTTCCTAATGGACAACAATCCTCCAAATAAAATTGATCTTTTACTTCATGACTATTTGTGGGATGTTGCTCTGGCTGCGCAAAACACAGGACTTTCTCCGTTCTGTGCTGTGCACAAATAGGTTGCTGTATTCACCTACAAAATACACTTTACAGTTTATCCTGTAAAGTGCTTTGAGACGTCCTCCTGGTGTGAGGATTATTATTCTTGTTTCCTCCATTGAAATTGTTCCTGTTTAAGTGTGAGGGCTTATTATATCCCTGGAGGGATACATCCTGTTTACTAAATTCTGGAAAGTTGTAAATGATTGGATTGGGACGGGGTGGGTAATGTAGCAAGCCTGTTGGGACAAGTGCATTATTGGTAGCTGAGGTGTTACCAGTAATAACACAAAACCATTTGTGAGACAATTATTACCCAACTCTCAGTCGAAAAATAAAATACCTTATTTTGGTTTCCCAACTCACTCACGCCCCAAAATGTGTCACACCTCACAGACACACACTGGATCAGTACACAAAGTGTGCGTTCCCTGCATAGTTCTGAGCGCCTCACCTGTTCCACTTTTGCTGAACTTTGCTTCTCTGAGACAAGCATGAGTGTGACAGATTGGGTCACCATGTTCAGGCCCTAGCATTGAACTTTACCAAGCCGTCAACAACAACAACTTGCATTTATATAGCACCCTCCACGCTGGGTGGCATCTCAGAGCACTTAACAATGGCGGAGCCAGAGGCCGAGCCAGGGGAAGGGGGGGTGACCGTAGGCACGGTCAAAGTGAAAGGTCTTTAGGAGTGACCTGAAGATGGGGAAGGAGGGGGCGAGGTGAAGAGGTTGAGGGAGGGAGTTCCAAAGTTTCAAGCCATAGTGGCTGAAGGCATGGTCGCCGATGTTGGAGCGGAGAACTCGGGGGGCACAGAGGAGACCGGACCCAGTGGAGCTGAAGCAGTGGGTACTGGTGTGGGGAGAGAGGAGATTAGAGAGATAGGGGGTGCCAAGGAATGGAGGGATTTAAACACTAGAGTGAAGAACTTGAAGTCGATCCACTCTGTGACAGGGAGCCAGTGGAGTTTGGCAAGGACTGCAGTCTACAACAACAACAACAAAATTACATTTATATAGCGCCTTTCACGTCGGGAGGAAGTCTCAAAATGCTTCACTGTAAAGTTCAGCGACTGGATTGTAGGCAAATGTGGCAACCAATTTGTAACATTATAATTATACACACATGCACACAAGTGTGGTAACTAGTGAAAGTGGTATACATATGTGAATACTCACTTTGTTTGGTTACTCTGAAGCAGGGCCATGGGTCCCCACTTGGCAGACACCCAGCTGATCCCTCCAAAATTATACACAGTAACATGTGATTATGATTTTCACATCAAACTGTTTCACAGGGAATTGCTGTAAACCAGTGACAGTGTTTTGTGGGTAATTTGCACTAACAGCCATGAATCTGCATTAACAGTCAGGTCATCCTCCTGACGTGAAAGGCGCTTTACAAATATAATTTGTTGTTGTTGTTGTTGAAGTGAATGACTAATTATATTTTATTGGTCAGGACACTGAGAGAGAAACTCCCTTCTGATTTTAAATAATGCCGTGGGATCTTTAACGTCCATTTGAACAGGCAGACTGGAATAGGCAGAACCCAGAGAGTGGGGGTGGGATTGGATTGGAAGCTCTTTTCAAAGAGCCGACACAGACGCGATGGCCCGAATGGCCTCCTTCTGTTCTATGATTCTATGATGCAGGACCTTGGGACTAGAGTGAAACAATGCTTAACCAGGAGTAAATTTAAAATAACTACAAGTGAAGCCAGTTATAGATACCTTTGATATACAACCAACTTCCAGCGCTGACTAGGTGTCATCCAGTGAAAAAAGAAAAGACAGGGGCCTTTTGACATACTTCCTGTATGAAATGTGTCCTGCAGCGTTTCTGTTGCTAAAGAGGCAATTTTATACACTAACTGTAGTGACCTGTGTTTGCCCAGACAGGAATGCTATTTGTTCTGTGCTGCAGTTTGCCTGACATTGAGTGCCAGGATAGGGGTTGTTTGTTATAACTGCAACCGTAATGTAAGGGTCTGTGCCTGAAATAACTTGTTTAAAAATTCCAAACTTATTACTGCTAACTGTGCTGTCTATACCTGAGAGAGGAGTCTTGTTCTGTGGGAGATGGGAGGTGGGAATGAAATCAATCTGTGGGGAATGGATTGAAGGAGAGAGGGGATAGAGTCTAGTTCTGTGGGGAGTGAGGCAAGAGGGATGGAGCTAGGGAGGGATGAGGAGCAAGGGAGGGAGCGGGGAAGCGAGCGAGGGGATGAGTCTTGTTCTGTGGGGAGGGATGTGTTAGTGTCTCACTGTGCACAGTAATACTCACATTGATGATGGTTGACAGGACTTTGGGTTTGGAGATCTGTTTGTCCCAAAACGTTGGATGTTGAACGCAGCAATTTTCATTGTCACTTGCTGCAAGTAATTAATTGAAGAATCTAAACAAAACACAAACATTTCTCAAAATCTAAACCTCAACAGCACAGGACTCACCACAGATTTCTGTCACTTTAAAATGAAATTTCTGAAATGTCCCCTCTTTCTATGTAACTCTTTTCCATTTCTTCCCCTCTCTCTAACTCGCTTTGCTCCACCTGAAAAGTATTTCCATGTTGTACCCTGTTTGTGAACTTTAAAAGATGAAGTAACCAGTTATCTGGAGGAGGAGAGTAAAATTAAGTGGCGACAGCAAGGATTGATGAAAGGAAGGCTCTGCTTGACCAACTTTATCAATTCTTTGAATATGTAACCAATAAAGTAGATGCAGTGGCTGTAAATGTACCCAGATTTCTAGAAGGCCTTTGATAAAGTGAGTTGTTACTAACCACCGATCTAGTAGGAAGGCCCCCTGAGTGTGCCGAATCTAGAGCTTCTGACACGTGGT